TTTCTTTTAACTTCACTCGACCAATCGCCCATAGCAGAACTTTTTTCACTATGTTCTACCATTTGATCCATATTCCTCAAAACCCGGCTCGAATGAACCCACAGAACCCCTCCAAGATTAAGCCCCTATGCCCCATTTCATACCGCCAACGTTGCTCGACAGAAACAGGCACGACTCCGCCAAGAGTCTTGCACAAATATAAATTGAAGAAACTACTCAAATATTAACTATTTCTAAAAACGAACAAAAAAAAAGGAGCAAATTTTTATCGAGATTTCAGAAGGGCGTCGCCTAAACACACAAACAAAACTTCACAATATAAATTTGAAAATACTGGAAAAAAATACCCGGGTTTGTGAAGCGTGGAATGAGATTGGGACAAAAGGATCATAACTGGGTAACACAAACAAAACTAATCATTTGCCAAAATTTGACAGGAAGTGAGGTTTTGACAGGAAATTTGAACTTGCTTCCGGACGTAAAGGAAGTGGAGGAGCTGAGAAACGATGGAGGAATTGTCGCGGCTTCTACTTCTCGTCAAACTATTGACAGAGAAAATCGAACCAAAGAAATATAAACATAAAAAATAAAAAAAATTGAAGCGCGAATCTGCAAAAATTTCTGTGAAAGAGAGTGAAGAATGTGAGAAGGCGATTTCTAAGGTTTCTTTCTCTGGGCCCATGAACGAAATCGCGAGAAAGAGAGAAGGATCTAGAAAAACCAATTGAAAGAATGAAGGAAAGAAGTATAGAGTATGGACGTTGCTTTGAGAAGTGGAGAAAGTCAGAAGAAAGGAAAAAAATGCATAAAAAGTCCACATGGCTTGGCTAATCGACGGCTCCAAAATGGCTCAACCAAGTTAGCCAAACGGCTTATGAACAGTGGCACACAAACTGACTGTTTTTATTATGTAGAATGTTTTATCGTTTGAAAGAGTATCTATAAATTTAAAAGACTTAAAATTGTAAAAGTACTTCAACAAAATTTCTATATTTAACACTTAATTTTATTATTTCAAATATATATATTATTTTTCTTTATCTTTTATTTTGACTAATTTTTCTTTAGATTATTCTATTATTATTTTACATTGAAAATAAAAACACTTTGAATGCATTTAATTATAAATAGTGAGTTTGACTCTCGAAAGCCAAATCCACCCTTTAAATTAAATATTAATTTAAAGAATCTTTTGGAACATGATTTTAAAAATTTGATTTTTTAAAAATAGAGAGACACATGTTTAAAGAGTTTCTTGAAAATGCTCTTAGACTTTAGTTGCGAAAATACGATTTGTTTCTTTTATCGATACATGTCTAAAAATTCACAATTTACTTCAATTATTAGTCACACATCCTCTAGAATTTCTTGCTCACTTAAAAATAATACCAAACAAATGCTTAGACAGAGTTGCTCAAATACAAGTTGTTGGAAAATAATATATTAAACAATATAATTATGTCGAATGAAACTGTAATAACAATTCATAGGTTTCAAGTCTAGTCAATTCTATAATATAATTTATAATTGAATTCGTTCGATTCCATAATCAATTTGTGGTTACAAATTCGTTCATTATTTGTCTTCAATACAAAATTAATTAAGAATTTGAAACTTCTCTCATCCTAGTACTATAGAAGGAGGTGTTCTCCTTCTTATTCTTTACACCGAAAAATTTGAGAGTTATTTCACTCTAGGTTTTTCTCTTCTCTTTGTTTAAGTGTTTTGTTCTTATTAATTTAGATAGTTTAGGTTTTTGTTCTTTGTTCTTATTAATTTAGATAGTTTAGTTTTTTGTTCTAACTTAGTGATAGAATTGTGAGTATTCTTTAGTTCAACTAAAGTAGTGACGGGTACTAGTCATCCACTTTCAACCGTTGTACTTGGGAGACAGACGCCATCAGTCCTCTTATACCACAGTGAGAGACGAATTTGTTTTAAGAAAATTGTATGCAGCACAGACCTCGGTTCATTTCAATACCGTTGCAAACTCAACAACCATTTTATCGAAGAGTGTGTCTGATTGATATGAAAAATATATCATAGAAAAGAAAATATTTTCCTTGTTTTGAAGAAAACAAAAACCTACTCCCCCAAAGAAAATATTATCCTTAAAAACAAGGAAAATTAGACATATTTTAAAAGTCGAAAAATATTTTTCATGGAAAAAATAGCAATCAAGTACTTCAAAGTAGGAATTTGGGTGGAAAGCTGAAATTTTCCCTGGAAAATAAATGCAATCAAATACACCCTAATTTTATTGTTACTCTGTTTATTGTAATGTTTCATTCCATTATTTATTTATACAATTTCAACAATATTTCGAATTTTCCTTTTTGTATTTTTTCCTAACACAAGTATCAATATTAGTTGATCATTTAATTCCTAAAACCAATCATGAACTATCCATCAATTAATCGATACAACATATCATTTTTATTTGGTTTCTTCAATCAAATAAAAAAAAAATCTCTCCAATCTCTTTTTAACACATGATCGATATATATTATTATGTAACTTTATTATGTACAAGTAGCGTTATTCTATGCTTTGAGTTTGATTTGAATACTCGTCTTTAGGAATATTGCACCAAGCATTGGCATTCTATTGAGGTGGTTACAACCTTTTGTTTTGCAATGTCGTTTCTAACCTATAGGTTTTGGTGCGGAGATAGCAAACATTCACTTTGTGCATTATCTAGCAGGTCAACAAACAAGGTTGGGGGTGATATTGCAATATCAACAGTAGAATGGGGACAATTCTTGTAAATTTCTCTTTTCTTTCTTAATTTATTTATTTTCTCCTAAAAAATGATTAACTGTCCATTTTTTTTCTTTTTCATTTTATGTCTTTTTTAACTGAGTTTTTGTATGGCAGTTACAAATCAGCCAATTGTGAAAGACCACGTGAGCCCAATTATTTTCCATCCCATTTTTTCTGATATTCTTCCTTCCACATTTTCAACCAGCGACGGCGCTCCTCATTTGCATTCTGCAGATTAATAAAAGTAAATATTTCATAATCTGCTTTTTTATTTATGTTGACCCCAAAAAACGAGCTC